AAAGAGAAAATCTGTCAAAGTACTGAGTCATCAGAAATCCAACATTTTGGAAACAGACCACAAGAATCCAATGTGCAGTAACATTCACATGACACAGCCAAACACTCTCTGCTGGGAACTTCATCTGTAACAGATAATATAGAAATATGTACGTTAATAAAGATGAGTTTCGACCCTACATAAAAAAAACAAAACAAAAACGACTTACTTTCTTAATAAGTACATCACTTTATGGAGACTTTTAAACTGCCCATTAAAGAAGAGGGAACTTGCCACAATGGCACTGAGATAAAATATGGCTGATAAAATGATCAATATATTTGTTAGTGCAAAAGTACATCCATATACCATGTCAAGTAACTCCCATTCAAAAGTAACACATACCTTGTGGGTGATAGGGTGTGTTTCAGCCCACCTCCTCTGTTGAGTTTTGTTTTTTCCAGGTTGACAAAAATGGCTTATTTTATGCTTCTCTCAAGCCATCTGTCTTCCCTGGTCAAAATGTGAACATGAGTCCTGTCCAGAAGAAGTTAGCCCCCCTGTGATGACTAAGAAGCATCATAGACAGAAGTTAAAAATGCTTATGTGCATTGCTATTGTGGATAAACATATAACCAGCTTGATATATATATCCATGTTTAAGGAATTATAAAGGTGTGCTAAAACATATAACCAGCTTGAACATAACATGCTGCTTAAAGCTAAAACTGAAAACATGCAGATGTAGAGAAAAGGAGCTGCGAGGTTGAGTTAAAACCAAGGTTTGTTGTGACAAGAGGAGTACTTGGTGTGATGGGAAACAGAAACTTTTAGAATACAATCCGATTATATACCTAAGAAAACATAGCGATCAATAACTCAATGGGAGAAATGCTTAATTTCATGGATAAATGTCAGGGGCCCATACACTTCCTTCGAAGTCTGTAGGCCAATATCAGAGAATTGTAAACGAGCTTATACAATACTGTAAACCCTGCGCTAATTTAGTAAGGAACTGTTTTAAAACAGCTGGAAAATCACAGCGCTATTAGACATTCGAATTGCATACACATACGTTCGAAGGCTACATGAGGAAGTTTTATGACAACAAGAAAATGACGCAAATTTAGTAAGGTACTGTTTAAAAGCAGCTGAAAAAATCGGAGGCTATATGGGCAAGTTTTATGACTACATGAAAATGACGATAAATCGCAGTATTAGCTATTCAAACTGCATTCAGACACGATCTCATGCACGTGGCAAAGTTTAAATAAGTTGACTGCATTGCATACTGGTCATATAAAGTATTAAAAATACAAGAAACTAACCTTGTAGCAGAAAACTATGGCTTGTCTGCAGCGACAAATTGGCCGATGCGCGCATGCGCAGTTGACTTGCGGAGCAAAAAACTAGGAAGGAGAAAACTTCAGAACACCAGTTGCACAAAGCCAGCTAGACCGTGACGGTGACTCGGTTGCTATGGCCACATACGCCGTGGAGTGAAATTGCTCCGGAGCAGTTTTAAGGTCCTTAAGTCTGAGTTAAGCAGTCACGGTTTCCCAATCCCCTTAAGTGGGACCCAATTGCTGGACACGATCTTAAGTCAATCAACACAGTTTATTTACAAAAGTTCAGTGATTTAATCCGTGGACGGGGAAGAGGTGCTCCAGTGCAAATGCGGTGACTCCAAACAATCTCTCCCACACACGTGTTTCTCCCGAGGGTTTGAATCTCACTACTCCAATACACCACTCCGTCCACCTAGTTCAATATGAACAAATCTTTCATATGACTTGGGAGTCACGAGTCACGAATCTTTCATATGACTCGGGAGGCACGAGTCATATGAAAGATTCGTTCATTTTGAATGAATCACTTGCAAACGACACATCACTATTGGCGTGTGGGCCAAGCAGGAGGACGCAGATTTCCATCGACAGGAACACCAGGTGACCTGGATTTATGCTGAACTCGTCCATAGAAATGTAATTTCACGTTAAATTAATGTCAAAGTGCTTTAAAGGTGACTTTTACCGAGGAGGAGCTTCCCAAAAGCTCAGGAGACTTTCTACTAGGTTACTACAGCGACAACATGAGCACCATCGTAGGCATTACAGAGCCATTTCAGGTGACGACGATTCTTCCTCCGTGTTCAAAACTAAAATATTTTCCTTCATGTATAGTCGTGTTTAATGTGTTCGGTTCTTTCATTCGTGGTGTTTCTGACTAATTTTGCTGTTAAATGTTCTTGAATATGCATTTTGTTATTTGTGTCTTCAGATCCAGCATCCTTCTTCCGGTCTGGAGGACAGTTCTTCTCACAGCTCTGGCTTAAGCTCAGAAGACGACAGCACCGTTGTCCACATGAAGACCAGGGGCCTGATGTACTAAATGTGCGTAAATTTTATCGTGCGCAGGAATACGTTTCATTTGTAAATCCCAGTGTGCCATTGAGCGCACATGCGGAATTACCACACCACACCCCTACCTACGTATGCAAATATCTTTAAAGAGGCCGTGAATCCCATGATCTGCAGGTGAATTCATCATAAGGAAGTGGACAAAAAGTATTATACTGAAGCCGAACTATAGATCCTAGTCAGAGAGGTGGAGAAGCGTCGAGGTGTGTGTTTTGGTGACTTGTCCGCAGGTGTAAATATGAAAGGGAAAAAGTGTGTGTGGTAAAAAAGAAATGGTCCAGTAACACTGGCCTTGGTAAACGAAACCGCCTCATCAGCCAGTAACCATCCTCGCGTTCCCTAAATACACGCTCCCGTCTTATTGCAAGATGTTCTAATAACACTACCGCTGTAATTGTTAATAATATTTCTTCAACACTTCTTGCATTCTTTCACATCCACCCGTATAACTGCAAACACGCTTGTGAGTTAATAGTTCATAAGTGTCTGATGTGCACATCACTCTGATGACTACTTGTTATTTTTATTTATTTATTTATATATATTTTTTTCACATTATTAGCAGTTTCCCAGCATCAGCACCAAGTGTCGCCAAAGGCTGACAGCTGTAGAAACGTGCGTACGGCAGCTCTTGAGCTGTCGGGAGGACCATACATTTCTACGATCATTTCAATTTTGAGACGTCTGAACGTGAGCGTAGAAAAAGGCGTAACCAACTTTTTTGTGCGTATGCAAGGTTTGTACAAGAGGCGCCGCACATTTCTACGCGCATTTCAGTTTTGATACATCTGAACGTGAGCGTAGAAAAGGGCGTAAGCAACTTTTTTGTGCTTAGGCAACTTTGGACTCGCAGTCCCAGTCCACACAAGGGCAAACACTGCCATCGTTGAGGTAGCTCCCGCAGCCGTCAGTCCTGCACTAGTCAAAAAGGAAGAATGCGGTGAGACGGCTGCTCCTCACACCAGTGGTACAGCTGAGCCAACAGGTGTCCTGATGCTGTCTTCTGTAGGAATAGCCATCTGTCTCGTCCAGGGTTTAATGAGGCTGTGTATGTGTAAAATGTAAGTTTTTCATATGTGAACTTTTTTTCTTGTTTGTTAATCTATGTATGTTCCCAGGTACAGGGATCAGACTCCAGGCAGCAGGAAATATTCCAAAAGTCTTTATTCTGTGAAAAGTTATATAAAGTAACCACAAGTAAAAAGTAATTTTGTTATCTACTCTTATGGCTGTTGGTTATTGTACATGTATCTACCTATCACCCCATCAGACTGGATAAAGGCTGAAGACACTGCAGTTAAGAAATATGGACAGACACAGTATTTTTTTTATCACTTTGCTGTTGAAAGAACATATCTTTGTAAAAACAAATATGCTCAAGCAAAGGGGACGACAGAGATATTGTTCCTTAGTTCTCAAATGTGCATCCCTCTGCTGTTACAGTCATTTGTTTATTTAGAAATCCAGCACTCAGTAACATGCAGGGATCACTTGAGATGACCCTTACCCGTGCATATGTATAAACAGATTGAAGCCCCCCTGGAAATGGGGCCTGGAGTTTATGTCGTTTGGCTTTCACCCGAGGCAGCAGCAAATGGCATTTCAGGCCAGAGCATGAATGTGAGTGAGTGCACAGGCCTGTAAGAACCAGCGGGTTGTGATGGGTGTGGGAAGCTCAGTGTCAGCTGATGCAGCATCTGCTCTGGAACAGGTAATGAATGACTGACAGCAGTGTCTCACCCAGAGTCCATTGCTCTTACACGTGAGTTGCAGAAATCTTATGTAATGCTCACATTTCTTCTCAGTGTGTATCAGCAACACCAAAATCAGCCTCTAGGTTTACAGTTGTGAAATGTGTAATACATTTGACCTATTGGTCTTTTCTATCACTGACTGACATGAGAAGCAGCGACTTCAGGGCTTTTATGGTACTCTATGTTATATGATGTAAAGCTGATATCACGTGAAGTATCACAACATTAATGTGGTATTTGGACTATATATAAAACGTTCCAAGTGTTTTGTAAATAGAATTTATAGTTAGTTACCAAAGTGTGTTAATCCAAAGTGTGGTGAACCATAATCTGTTATCTAAGTGTGTTAAATAATGGTCTGCTTGACAGGAGTAGGTACTCCTAAAAGGTTTTTTACAATGTAGGTCCATAAAGGATGAGGTCTGTTTCTCATCAAGTATGGGAATCGGATGAACTTTGCCCTGGGAGTAAAACTTAAAGAAAAAAACAACTGCCCAGTACTTGTGAAACTTTCTCAGTAAAAGGAGCTGCAGTCCTCATACACTTTGGGACTTAGGTGAGCCAACTCTGCAAAGCTGTTGGTCTCTCTGCTCCCCCTCGCAGCGAGTAAAAAGTACAACGTTGTCAGGTGTGGTTCTTTTCAGGTCATTCTATCTGTGGCAGTTAGATGACAACAGTGGTGACTGAATAACGTAATTTTCGGCACCAACATGTTTGTATTTTGAGAACCACATTTTCATGTGTCTTTGTTTGACTTTTCAAGTCCCTTGAGGTTGTTTTGTTTCTCTCATGCTGATTCTCATGCTGATTCTCCAGGCTCCACATTGGGAGTGGTTTTCTTGGAATCCAGTTTTTTGGAATTCTGATCATGAAGATAGAGTCTAATTTGACTAAAATTCATGTTGTCATTGTTTCACCTCAGGACGTGGCAGTTAAAAAGGGGCGTGTCAACTTTATAATCCCACTCCGTTTTCAAATGTGGAATAATTCAGGTGTGTGTATGTCTCTATGCCTTGTTTTTGACTCTTTGTTATAGTTGAGGATGTGACGATGGATGGGAAATGAGGACAGCAGAATAAAATCAGCGTTGGTGCAACTGTTAGGTTACGATTGTGCAAACATGTTTATTCTGAAGTTTCCTGTGCATTTCTGTACTTTTGTAATTACAAATAAGAAAATCTACTGTATGTTTGATGGACTAAAATTAAGATTGTTGGAAACATTGTAGGTAAATTAGACGAGTATAGTCCGTCCTGGAACACTGAATATTTATGAATAGTGTAGCAGTACGAGCATTTTTGTCTTCTTGTTCCCTCGCTCTTTCTGTTGACTGTTGCTATGGTTTCCCTTCCTCATTTCCGCCAGTCCGGCCTTCTTCTGCGGCCGTCAGCAGCTTCCAAGATACACGCTGTGCAGGACGATTGTTCAGCCGTACACCGCATTGCTGTAGGCCGGTTGTGGCGGTGCTGGTGACCTGGCGGTGGTATCCTCCCGTCGTATCTTGCTGTGTCCCTGGGAGTGGGTTTCTTCACTGAGGGTGTGTCTGCCACGTGTGCCCCAAGATGGCTGAACTGCGCTGTGACGGCACTCTTCCTTGGCTCCGGCCAGACTCCAAGACACAGGTACAGTGGTGATGCTGACATGGAACATCTTCTTTTTCTTTCGGCTTTGTCCCTTTTTCATGGGTTGCCACAGCGAATCATTGATTTCCATCTCTCCCTGTTTTCTGTATCCTCTACTCTGACTCCAACTATATGCATGTCCTCCCTCACTGCATCCGTATATCTCCTCTTTGGCCTTCCTCTTTTTCTCCTACCTGGTAGCTCCATCTCTAACATTTTTCTACCAATGTATCCACTGTCCCTCCTCTGCACATGTCCAAACCATCTCAATCTGGCTTCTCTAGCCTTTTCTCCAAACCTTCCTGTCTGTGTTGTCCCTCTAATGACCTCATTCCTGATCCTGTCCATTCTTGTCACTCCTAAAGAGAATCTTAGCATCTTTAACTCTGCCACCTCCAGCTCCGCCTCCTGTCTTCTGCCTATTGCTACTGTCTCTAAACCATACATCATGGCTGGTCTCACCACCGTCCTGTAAACCTTTCCCTTCACCTTAGCTGACACTCTTCTGTCACAGATCACTCCTGACACTTTTCTCCAGCTGTTCCATCCTGCCTGTACTCTATTCTTCACCTCTCTTCCACAGTCTCCGCTGCTCTGAACAGTTGATCCTAAGT